TTTTTTTTTTAGATGGAGTCTTTCTCTGTCACCCAGGCTGCAGTGCAGTGGTGCAATCTTGGATCATTGCAACCTCTACCTCCTGGGTTCAAGTGATTCTTCTGCCTCAGCCTCCCAAGTAGCTGGGACTACAAGTGTGTGCCACCATGCCTGGCTTTTTTTTTTTTTTTTTAAATTTTTAGTAGAGACGGGATTTCACCATATTGGCCAGGCTGGTCTCAAACTCCTGACCTCGTGATCTGCCGGCCTCTGCCTCCCAAAGTGCTGGGATTACAGGTGTGAGCCACTGCACCGGTTTACCAAGAGTGAGTTGTAAACCTAACTATTCCGCTCTTGAGTCACTAATAAACACAGGGGTGGGGTGGTCATTTCTTAAGTGGAAGGTGAGAAATCATATAAGGGTATATGAGGTCTGAGAACCCTTGTCTTTGTTTAGTTCCTTGATATACCCTTTAAGATGAGCCCAGGAAATTTCACATATCTGCTTACTTCCAAAAAATTATTTTCTGCCAACTCATGTCATCGTATGTCATTGCCACTAGTTGCCACATGTGGCAAATATTGTAGGCAATAAAATTCAGGCTGATCACCATTATTAAGACATGGACATAAATACTAAGAATAGGGTGGGAGGACCAGGTGGGGTGGGTTTGGAAGGCTGAGGAGGGAGGATCGTTTGAGACTGGGAGTTTGAGATCAGCCTGGGTAACACAGCAAGACCCCATCTTTACAAAAAAAGTTTAAAAATTAGCTGGTTGTGGTGGTGCGTGCCTGTGGTTCCAGCTACTTGGGAGGCTAAGGTGGGAGGATCACTTGAGCCCAGAATGTTGAGGCTGCAGTGAGCCACGGCTGTGCCACTGGACTCCAGCCTAGGTGACAGAGCAAGACCCTGTCTAAAATGAAAAGAATAGGGTGGGAGTACTAATTGCTCTCACTTGACTTGGCTCCATTTTATGGATGAAATTGGCTCAGAGAGCCTTGTAGCAAGTAAGTGGTGTCACTGGTATTCAAACTAATGTTTGTCAGACATTACCTCTTAGAGAGGAATATTTTGAATTCAGAATCTAAAAGGTTTGTATTCTGTGGCTGGGTGCAGTGGCTCATGCCTGTAATCCCAGCACTTTGGGAGGCCGAGGTGGGCAGATCAGTTGAGGCCAGGGGTTCAAGACCAGCCTGACCAACATGGTGAACCCCGTCTCGACAAAAAACACAAAAACTAGCCGGGCATGTTGGCGCACACCTGTAATCCCAGCTACTCAGGAAGCTGAGGCCAGAGAATCGCTTGAACCAAGGAAGTGGAGGCTGCAGCAAGCTAAGATCATGCCACTGCACTCCAGCCTGGGAGTCAGAGTGAGACCCTGTCTCAAAAAAAATAATAATAAAATAAAATAATAAGAAAAGGTGTGTATTCTGGAAAGCATAGAGTAAAACCAAAGAACTTTCTGCAGAAGAAAATTTCTATTTGTCAAGTATAGTTTTCCATGATTATTATCCTAGCAAATATTACAGGGCAGTGCGACTAGGAAGACAGTTGGCAGAAAGTCTTCTGTTTTGGTGGAGAGAGATGGAGCAAATACAATATTGTGAACCTGATTTTAGTATCAGCCAAACAAAATCAAGAAGAATATGTGGTGGTGGTAGGGGCAAGAAATGAAAATCTCTCGTTTCATCCACAGTTTTGTTTTGTTTTGTTTTGTTTTGAGACGGAGTCTCTTTCTGTCACCTAGGCTGGAGTACAGTGGTGCGGTCTTGGTTCACTGCAATCTCCACCTCCTGGTTTCAAGTGATTCTCTTGCCTCAGCCTCCCAAGTAGCTGGGATTATAGATGCCCACCACCATGCCCTGCTAGTTTTTGTATTTTTAGTAGAGATGGGGTTTCACCATGTTGGCCAGGCTGGTCTCGAACTCCTGACCTCAAGTGATCTGTCCCGCTTGGCCTCCCAAAGTGCTGGAATTACAGGCGTGAGCCACTGTGCCCTGGCCACAGTTATTAAAAGCGCTGATTTTTTTTTTCTTTCATAGCAGACAAGTTCATCTTCAAGAAAACTAAGAGATCTCTTCCCCTAACAAAAAACAACTCCACATTTGATGGGACTCAGACCTGGGCTCTTCTGTCACCTCTAGGTAGGGAGGTATTGGAGAGCAAGGTGAGTTCCTATGAAGAGTTTCATGTGAGGGAGAAAAAGATGGATATGTCAGTTACTCTCAGGTAGCCCGGAAGAGCCTGGCAATGTTAGATTTTTATGTTCCTTTTAATTGTTTTGATGTCTTAACCTAGTAATAAATTGTCAGTTAATCACTTTTATGCAATAATAAAAGGTGCATAAAATGTTACTGCTGCTTCCTGCTCAGGCTCCCCTCTCCAGCATGGAGTGTTATTGAGATACATTTCATTCAGATAAGTTGGCAGCTTTATCAGAGCATAGAGGACACCCTGACAATTATCCTACATGCTGCAGCAGACAATATGAAAAGCCTCTAGGTCCAAACTCCCTCTGGCTTCCAAGAGTATATTTTGCAAAAGGTGCAGCTTTGGTGGAACTGGAGAGTTTGGTCACCAGGTTATTTGATTGTAGGAAAAGTCCATATTGTGCTCCAGGACTTAAGAGACTAAGGTCAGTAAATGGGGAGATAAGTGATTGACAAATGTGATATTCTTGCCTGGTGGTAAAAATAAAAAAAATTTTAAAAACCCAAATGTGATAAAATGGGCGTTCTGTGTTAAATCAAAGCTTCATGGGTTTTAAAATCATGTTTATGTAATAATATTTTGGAATTCTTTCCAATTATAGTGAGATCAGAGTGTTCATGGAAAGTCACCATCCATAGACACTGGAAAAATAGTCATTCCCAATTTCTGCTATGTGATCCCAGTATGGCCTTGCTAATTTGTTTGCTTTCTAATTCCTTGGTTTAAGTGGAAAGGAGGATCCTCTTTACAGTGTTACTGTGCAGAGTAGTAATTGTCAACCTCGATTTTGTAAAAAGCAAGAATCTTTCTGAGGATGTTGCAAACTCTCAAGAGGTCTGAATCCAGCCTAGTATGCCCCTCCCACCGAGTGCATGACATCAGGAGAGCCAGTTGTGAAATTAAACAATGATAGGATGATGCAACTTCAAAGAAGTTGGAAATTTTTGATATAATAAGGTTATAAAGCTACAGGTTATAAGAATAAGTGACTTGAATTTATGGTGAGTCATATGACAATCTCAGCACTTCACTTGGTGGCTATTTCCAAAGAAGGAGGGAGAAGGAAAGGACAGAGAGATGAGGGGCGGAGGGAAAGCTGCCTCAGTTGTGACAGTTCTACCAGACCACAAATTAAGCTAATTATTAGTATCAGCTGTTACTTATTTTTAACTCAGTAGTGCTGCACTGTAATTCTATAACTCTTAACTTGGCAAACATGTTGTAATGGAGCTAGCTGTATGAAAGAGTCTATGTAAGATTGACTTTACTATTCTTGTTATTATAGTTCAGGAGTCACCCTACCAAGTGGGTATGATGATGAAGGTGAGCTGCTAAGAAAGAGGTTGAGAGACAGCTGATGTTTGTTTCAAGCCAATCTTCTTCAACCCCAGGCACCAGGAGCAGAGGGCCAGTGGGTAAAGATTAAGTAGGATGGAATCTGCAATAAAGCCAAATGTGTGGGTTCTATTGCTGATCTTGTCATCATTTTGGATTTTTGGAGTGGAAATGAGATGAAAATGTTTGCTTTGTATCTACCTGCCCAGGATGTAAGTAAGAGGGAAGAACAAGACTCTAGGAGAGAAATAGAGGCTTCCCTAAAAAAAACACAAGTAAATGTCAGGTGATGTCACCCATAAAGTCTTCCAGCCATAATAATTTCACCTGAAAGCTATTTATTTTGGAAACCGACAGAAAGCCCTGTCTGTTTCACATTAATACTCCCTCAGTTTGCCGATGTTAGAATACTTCCAGGACTATAGGTGAAATAGGTCTACTAGAAGATTAGCCAACCATCTACATAGCGACCCTTACAGCATCAAAATTTTTCTTTGACTATTCCATGTAAAGAATTATGAAAAATATAGTAATACCTTTAAAAAAATTTCACAAGAAGCGTTTTTTGTTTGTTTTGTTTTGTTTTGTTTTAGATGGAGTTTCACTCTTGTTGCCCAGGCTGGAGTGCAGTGGCACGATCTCAGGTCACTGCGACCTCCACCTCCTGGGTTCAAGCGATTCTCCTGTCTCAGCCTCCATAGTAGCTGGGATTTACAGGCACATTCCACCATGCCTGGCTAATTTTTGTATTTTTAGTAGAGATGGGATTTCATCATATTGGTCAGGCTGGTCTCCAACTCCTAACCTCAGGTGATCTGCCTGCCTCGGCCTCACAAAGTGCTGGGATTACATGCATGAGCCACCTCGCTCTGCCAACATAAGAAGCTTTTTAAACAAATAAAAATAACATGCAGAAATACAAGAAAGCAGCATCATATAAGCAAGGTTCAAACATTCTGTAAATATCTAGTGAGTGGCCAGGTATGGTGGCTCATGCCTGTAATCCCAGCACTTTGGGGGACTGAGGCAAGCAGATCACTTGAGGTCAGGAGTTTGAGACCAGCCTGGTCATCATGGTGAAACCCTGTCTCTACTAAAAATAGAAAAAAACTAGCTGGGCATGGTGGTGCACGCCATGGTCCCAGCTACTCAGGAGGCTGAGGCAGGAGAATCGCTTGATCCTGGGAGGTGGAGGTTGCAATGAGCCGAGATGGCACCACTGCACTCCAGCCTGGGCAACAGAGGGAGACTCTGTCTCAAAACAAAAAACAAAAAAATATAGTGAGTATTAATTACCTTATGTGCTTGGAGCTGAAATTGTAGTGGGTGAGTGATACAAACCAGGATCCAGTCTCCACAGCACTGCATGCTGTTCTGGGTTCAAGAAAAGGGGGCCTGATTAATTTGAGTCTGTTTTTTGTAAGTAGGTGTCTTAGTCTGTTTGTGCTGCTATAACAAAATACCATGGACTGAGTAATGTATGAACAATTGAAATTTATTTCTCATAGTTGTAGAGGCTGGGAAGTCCAAGATCAAGTTCTGGCATTTGATATCTGGTGAGGGCCATCTTGCTGGGCATCCTCACGTGGCAGGAGGGGTGAACACTGGGTCCTCACCTGGAATAAGGCAAAAGGGCAAAAAGGGCCTGAGCTAGTTCCCTAGCCCTTTTATAAGGCACTAATCTATTCAGGAGGTCTCTGCCCTAGTGACTGAATCACTTCCCCAAAGGCTCCACCTCTTAATACCAGCACAATAGGGATTAAGTTTTAACAGGAATTTTGGAGGAGACACATTGTAATAGTCCGTTCTTGTGCTGCTGATAAAGACATACAAGAGACTGGGAAGAAAAAGAGGTTTAATTGGACTTACATTTCCACATGGCTGGGGAGGCCTCAGAATCATGGCAGGAGGTGAAAGGCACTTCTTACATGGCAGTGGCAAGAGAAAAATGAGGAAGGAGCAAAAGCAGAAACTCATTAGATCTCAGGAGACTTATTCACTATTTCTAGAATAGCACAGGAAAGACAAGCCCCCTTGATGCAATTACCTCCCCCTGGGTCCCTCCACAACATGAGGGAATTCTGGGAGATACAATTCAGGTTGAGATTTGGGTGGGGACACAGCTAAACTGTATCACACATTAAAACCATAGTAGAAGGTTAGACAAAAATAGTAAATGGATAGGGATAGAATAATGTAGTATTTTAGAGGCATGGTTCAGCAGCCTATGGCAAGGGGTCTTTGGAAACAATTTCTAGTGGTTCAGTATTCAAGCCGTGGAGAGTCAAGTAGGGGTGCTAATGTGATTTTATCCCAACCTCTACCAGCCTTCTGCAACCTCATCCCAACTTTACTCCTACTTGAAGGGTCATCCCTCTGGGGTTCTCCAGGCTCTTTCAGGCAGGCTGGTCATGTTTCTTGCCTTTTCTTGCAGCTACCCCCAATCCCAACTTGGTTCACTTGGATGTCAATGAAGGAAACTCTTGGCAGCTACTTCTGAATGTATTGATCCCAATTTTGGAAAGTGTTTCCCAGAGAAAGGGACAGCCAGTGTCACAAGTTTCCCATTTAGAGGTTCCCATTTACCATCTGGAAAATTAGAAGCCTTCTAGCTTGCTGGTCTGCTTGCCTGTACCACATGGCATAGATAATAATAGGAGGGTCAGGCAATGCAGGATGGCTCAACCTCAGCTGCCATCCACTGAGCCTCCACAATTGCCTAGGCGTTGTAGAAAGAGGTGGCACAGTCCTAGCCATTGATAGATTTGGAATCTAAAGTTACATTTTTTTTTTTTACATTTAAAAGAAGAACTTAAAAATATGCAGGTTAAATCCACTTCCTAAATATTTATTGATTGCCATTAACTTGGACCATTAAACACTATTTTTTTGAAGCCCCATCTCCTTTTGCTCTCACTAATGGAGTGTTCTCAGTAATAGGTTTTTTCTCTTTCTTAAATGATCTTCTATGGTTCTTTTCTTTAAACTAAACTAAAGGAATATTATCATAACTGAAATATTTTCCTATTCAGCTAGAAATGAGCATTTAACTTAAAACAAATTGCAGGCTAGGCTTTAAAGGGCCATTAATTAGTAATGGTACCAGAGGGGCAAGGTGACTAGATGGCTGGAATTGGACAAAGTGAACCTAATTTTTGCTTCTTATTCCATCTGACAGCATTTGTCCTTGAAAAGCACATTTAATTACGAAATGAGGTAATGTGGTAGAGACTTTCAGTATGGTGCCTGGCACAGGGAAAGCGTCAGTAACTATTCCGGGCCTCTTGCCCCTTTGCCTTCTACCGTCTTTGCTCTCAGCAGTCATTCATACCTTCCATCTCATAATGAAAATAATGGCTTGAGCTCACTCAACTTTACTCAACTTAAAGCTTGTCTTTTTGGTATTCCTTTCCCAGGTTGACTACTACACTGATAATTTTGATGCCACCCACCCCAGGCTGCTCTAGGGCCGTGTTCTTCCAATAACTTCTTCTCTACTGTATATCTTCATTCTCTCTTCTTTATCTACTTACCCATAGTCAACTCATATGCTCTAGCTTAAAATCCAGCAACACTTTCTCTCCACCTTTTTAATATGTAAGTTACTGGCTGTTTTCTCCTACCTATTGCACCAAACTTCTTGAAAGAGTAGTCTACACTCTCTCCCTCCAGGTCCTCATCTAAAATCTACCCCTTGCCTATTGCAACTTGGCTTTTGCAACTACTAAAACTGTGTTCCCAGAAATCAGTAATGACCTCCTATTTACCAAATGTAGAGGCCTCTTCCTATTCTTCTTTCACTTCTCCGTGGCATGTGATGTGCTTGTCCACTCCTTTGATGAAATTCTCTTTGCTGCTTTTATCTGCTGTTCTTTATCATTTGTGCTCTTTATCACCTCTCTGTCCTACCTTAAATGTTTGTGTTCTCAAACGTCCACCCTTGGCTGCTTCTGTTTTGCTCTGGATTAGTCCTTCTCAATCTGGATGCATCTAAGAATTATCTAGGGAACTCTTGGAAAACCCAGATGAAATCCCATTAAATCTGAGTAAATATATACTGATATTTCTTTATTTCTGAGATGGAGTCTCGCTCTGTCACCCAGGTTGGAGTGCAGTGGTGTGATCTCAGCTCACTGAAACCTTTGCCTCCCGAATTCCAGTGAATCTCATGCTTCAGCCTCTGAGTAGCTGGGACTATAGGTGCGCACTACCAGGCCTCGCTAATTTTTTTTTTTTTTTTTTTGAAACGGAGTCTCGCTCTGTCGCCCAGGCTGGAGTGCAGTGGCCGGATCTCAGCTCACTGCAAGCTCCGCCTCCTGGGTTTAAGCCATTCTCCTGCCTCAGCCTCCTGAGTAGCTGGGACTACAGGCGCCCGCCACCTCGCCCGGCTAGTTTTTTGTACTTTTTAGTAGAGATGGGGTTTCACCGTGTTAGCCAGGATGGTCTCGATCTCCTGACCTCGTGATCCGCCCGTCTCGGCCTCCCAAAGTGCTGGGATTACAGGCTTGAGCCACCGCGCCCGGCCTTAGGCCTCGCTAATTTTTAAAAATGTTTTTAGTAGAGATAGAATTTCGCCACATTGGCCAGGCTGGTCTCGAACTCCTGACCTCAGGTGATCTGCCCACCTGGACCTCCCAAAATGCGGGGATTACTGGTGTGAGTCACTGCGCCTGGCCAATTACATCTGATTTCTAGCTTCACCCAGAAATTCTGTTTAATTGATCTGGGGTCGGGCCCTGACATCTCTTTTTTATAACACTTCTCAGTGCAGCTAGGAATGAGAACCACAGCTCTGGAATAGCTGCTTTTATCCTTAGTTCTTGCCTCATTCCTGACACATAGACTCTATTGTCTAGCTCTTTTCTGAGCATCTCAGTCTAAATGCTCTGTAGTATCTCACTTTCTATGTGGTCCAGATCAAATTCATTATGCCCCAAATGTTCTGTTGTGGTTTTTTTTTTTTTTTTTTTTTTGCCCCAATTCTAAGAACAACTTCTTCTGTGTTATAGGGTCACCATTTTCTCATGCTGCCAAGCTGGAGACTTGGAAGTCATCTTTAAAAATCCCTTCTGCTTTGCCCCTTCTCTTACTTAGTTGCCATATCCTGTAGATTTTATTGCAGACCCTTTTGAAATCCATTCTCCCTACCACCAACCAATGCTCCATTTTAGAATCTTATTGCAATCACTTCTTACCTGGCTTCCCTGCCTTCAGGCTCTTTCCTCTTCATTCCATCTTACACATGTTAGTAGAGAGATCTTTCTGGAACACAGTTCTGTTGATTCCTACTCAATAACCACCACTGGATTTTTTTTTTTTTTTGAGATGAAGTCTTGCTCTGTTGCCCAGGCTGGAGTACAGTGGCATGATCTCGGCTCACTGCAACCGCCGCCTCCCAGGTTCAAGCGATTCTCCTGCCTCAGCCTCTCGAGTAGCTGGGACTACAGGCATGTGCCACCACGCCCAGCTAATTTTTATATTTTTAGTAGAGATGTGGTTTCACCATGTTGGCCAGGCTGGTGAACTCCTGACCTTGTGATCTGCCTGCCTCAGCCTCCCAAAGTGCTGGGATTACAGGCATGAGCCACTGCGCCTGGCCCCATTGGATTTCTTTTACCCAAGAATAAAATACAAATTCCATAGTAAGGCCCTCATTATCTGGCCCCAATTCTCTAAAATCATTCCTAGATTCCCATCTCTATAATGTTACCTAAATTGCAGTTGTGTTTCCCCAGTCATGAGTTCCTTCTTGTCTTTGCTTATACTATTCTCTTTGATCAGGACTGGTTTCAGCTCAGATGGTTCAAATGAAGGGATAATTTACAGAGATATAGTCAGGGTAAAGGGAAACCACAAGAGTGGTTGAGGTAACCAAAGACTAGCAAAGTGGGAACCTCTTATCTTCCCTAGGCCCAAAGGTCCCACGGGATGAAACACTGCCATCATAGCTCAGTGCAAGTTGGAGCCATGGGAAAGGGGCCATCAGTAGGAAATGTAGGCAGAGAGGGTGGCAGCCACTGTAAGAATCACAGTGTTGAAACAGAATGGGCACAGTGAAGAAATATCCCAACTTCTCTGTCCTCCTGCCCTCTAATCTCCAGTCAGTGTCTTTCACTGGCCAAACTCAACCAGAAGCCAATGAACCACCAAGGATAGTCAGGTAAGGCAGGCTACTAGTTAGGAAGCAGGGCAGTGAGAGGTGGGGAATAGATGGTGGTGCAAAGGATGAGAAATTAAATGGAGAATAACCACAAAATTCTCTTATTAAAATTAAATTAAATTTATTAATTTTGAGATAGGGTCTTGCTCTGTCACCCAGGGTGGAGTGCAGTGGTGCAATCATAGCTCACAACAGCCTCCATCTCCTGGGCTCAAGTGATCCTCCTGCTTCAGCCTCCCGAGTAGGGGGACTACAGGCATGCACCACCATGCCTGACTACAATTCTCTTTTATATATAGTAAAATTCCTTTCTCTTCTAGGACACAGTTCAAATGTCACCTTTTATGTAGAGTCTTCCACCACTTTTGTCACCCCAAGATCCAGTTATTTCAATTCTCTATGTTCCTTTAGCTGTTGTAATGCCTTCATTATTGAAGCTATCAGTCAGATTTATGATACAATTATTTATGAGATCTGCATCCATATCTTGTATAATATTTTGTGATTTTGGATGAAAGGGATAGTGCTTCATTTGGTGCAGTGTCTTACAGGTAATAGGCACTCAATAACTGTTGGTTGAATTTAAATGCATTTTCATGTTATCACCTTCTCAGCCTCTGTTGGGAAGATTTGTATATACTTGTAAACCATTGTCCTCACATTTTAAAATATTTCTACTTTTCATATGACTTTCTTGGTTCTACTTCTTGCTGGACTTTTCCCTTCTCTTTACCTACATCTCTTAGGTTAGATTCTTTTTTT